TATAAAACTGATTTTTTTAGTTTTAAATTAAAACTGATATGTACTTTACTTTTACAGTGAAAAAGGTGAATTAAAATCTGTAATTGAACCTTTTCGTCAATATTTAAGATTGGCCCATTACATCTATGATGATTTATTTTTATATTTCATGAATAGATTTAAGTAATTAATAATACTATTTCTAAGAGAACTAAAAATAACGTATTAAATAATAATATTTTAAAATAAATTTGTATATCATTTTAAACCCCTAAATCTAATGAAAAAAATTTAAATAAAACGGTTAAAAACTTTTCAACAACGTTAACTTTGCAAATCGAAATAAATTATTTTCTTAAATAAAAGAAAAAATTTTAAAATTAAATTTTTTAAATATTATTTTTATTAAATTAAATTATATGAAATGGACGAACTGAGTTTTCCTCAGAAGAAGAAAGTCTCACTGATGGAGTTTTTCCATTGGGCTTAGTCGGCCCATCTATTCATGGTAGTAAGTAGATGAAACTACTTTTGTCAACTTCTACTTCCACCAAACAAACGTATCATATCATCACTCCACATATAAATTAAATTACGTCAAAACAAATGATGTAGATATTTTCACCAAGTAACAAATGTAAAAACACTCTAACCAAGTGTTCTACGTTTCATCTCTTGACTAGATCATTTTTAATGTGTTTAATTGCACCCCTTTTGATTATATCCTAATTATATGATTAGGCAAAGCATATATTACATTACATTTCTGCAAATCAAACCGTCTCATGCTGTAATTGTAATGTACAATATTGATATATAATACTCCAAAAAGGATTAATATAAAAGAAGATTCTTATTCAATTGACTAATTTATCTATAATTATAATAATAATAATAATTATAGATAAATTTCTATAATCTTCTTAGGGTTTTCTTGTTGTAGACTTAATATTTTATAATATCGCTTTTTTTTTTCAAACAAGTGAATGAATATTGATCATTATCAAAATTTATATATAAAATCATAAAATGCTCAATGAGAAGTTATTCAGTAAACAAGTATGTTAAGTGAAATCCAAAACTCTAAACTCAAATGAAACATAAAAAACAATAATAAAGCTAGAATCAAGATTTCATTTAATAAAATGTCAATTTATATTTATGTGTTTGGTTGAATTGGTAAATAACAATAACTTTCCCAATAGAGAAGTAGGTTGAAGTGTTGCTACATGCATGCAATAACATATGAATAGGAAATAACCTATTTTAAATTATAAAGCATTTAGTGTGTTTGTTAATTAGTTAACATTAGTTTACTTAATTGAATGATTTAGCTTCGAATATATAGAAAGGAAGCCACCCTATAATCCTATAGTTTTATAAATGTCCTTATCCTTAGCTCCTTTTAGCAGAATTAGATTTTGTGACAACTTTAGAGCTCATAGTAAGAAATTGAGTTCTTTCTAGAATCATATGAATTTATATGTTGGAAGCTTTTAGCCTTTTATATGCATTGTAGGTAAGTTCATCTTCCATAGGTTTGTTAACCAGTCACTGTTCTAAAATAACCTATTCAGTGTTTGGCTTTATCTTGAGAAGCATGCAGTTCCTATAATATGGGTCTCCGTTTGTTACCTTTATCAAGATTAGCCTCTGGAAGAGCTTTTATCAAAGGGAAAAAAAATAAGCAAAATGGGTACCCTTAAGGTGTCCAACAGTTCATGCACATTTTCAAAATTCTTGGTAGTTTGCATGGTGGCATTTTCTTTGGTTGATTCAAGTTATGGTGACTGTGATTTTAAGGCAATCTTCAATTTTGGGGATTCAAATTCGGATACTGGTGGGTTTCATGCAGCCTTTCCTGCACAGCCTGATCCCTATGGAATGACCTTTTTCAAAAAACCAGTTGGTCGTGCTTCTGATGGAAGGCTCGTTCTTGATTTTCTTGGTAATCACATCTATTGTTATAATAATATTATAACTTTCTGATATATTTTAACGTATTCTGTTGAAAAATATTTGATTTTGAACGTGCAGCTCAGGGTCTAGGGCTTCCATTTTTGAGTCCATATCTTGAGTCAATTGGATCAGACTATAGCCATGGAGCTAACTTTGCATCTTCAGCTTCCACTGTGATTCCTCCCATTACTTCCTTCTTTCATAGTGGACTCAGTCCATTTTCCCTTTCCATTCAACTCAGCCAAATGAGACAATTCAAAGCCAGAGTTGATGAATTTCATCAAACAGGTACACAGAAAAATGTTACTACAGATTTACATTTACTTAATCTAATAATGGTACACTCACCCATGAATCTTTCTTTCCATGCATGCACCATACAGGAACTATACCATCATCTGGTATTCCTTCACCAGATATATTCAAAAAGGCCATTTACATGTTATACATTGGCCAAAATGATCTCACTTCCAAAATAGCAGCCACTGGTAGTATTAATGGACTCATGGAAACCTTTCCTCAAATTCTTTCACAAATTAATGATGCTGTCAAGGTTTGAGTATATTCTTCATGCATTTTATATAGTAATCTTTCAGAAGATTTTTATCTTATGTTCATTCATCCTTGTTGGCAAATTATATATATGTCACACTGTTTTAATAAAGCATCTCAGGGCCAGTTGTTCAAGAAATTTGGACTATTATGTGTCATATAATTATGCATGATGTAATAACATTTAAATTATGTGACCATTTAAAAAAGTTAAATGACTTTTTGAAAAGCTTATATATCTTTTGACCAGTATCAAAATAACCTTTTTCATATGATTAGTTCTATAAGAAAAGTTTTTATAAATAATTCTACTCCTCCCTGTAGATAAAGAAAAAAAAATATGGTAAGTTCTCTTAAGCTGTAGAAACTTTATTAAATTTCTTATAAAATCTTTTCTTCTTACTTGGCTCAAAATCATCTCATTTGTTTAAATATAAAGGAATTTAATGTAAAAGAGAGTCTTATATATAACACAACTAGGACTTAATTATCTTGTTGATAGTTCAAAATTTACAGTGAACATAGTTTAGGTTTTCAAATTAAAAAAAGAAGAAGAAAAAGTAATCTCTTATGTTTATTAAAATATTGTTTTAATCTCAAAATATTAAATTTAAAGAATTGGAAGGATTTTTTGAAAACTATTTTAGCCTCTCAAATTTAATATACAACATTAAAATCACATTTTTTTTAAGTTTAAAAACTAAAATAAAATATTTTTAAATTTGAAGGACCAAAATCATGTTTTATTTTTTTCTTTAAGAATTAAAAAATAATCAAACCTAAAATTATGTACTCCTCAATTTTAAGGACTTAAAAACATAGTAAACCTAAAACTATTTATTTTTTCTCTTTTGTTGGAACAAGTTATATAATAGAATATTATTGGTTTTACTTTAATTTATGGGTTCTATAGCATAATATCAGTTGATTGAGAAAACTTTCAAAATTGAATTTGTTTTGGAAGAGATTGCTACTGTGTATATATATATATACACATAATAAATTCATAAAACATTCTTTACCTTAATTTCTCTTTCATTTTCTTTCATCTTATCAATACTTTACAGTATACACTCTCTGTTTTCTGTAACATTATTTGTATGAATTTTTTGTACTCATAAAGTTTGTGTTTTTAGGAGCTTTATGCACAAGGGGCACGCACAATTATGGTATTCAATCTTGGTCCTGTGGGATGTTATCCAGGATATTTGGTACAGCTTCCTCATGCTACTTCTGATTTTGATGAGTTTGGATGCATCGCTTCTTACCAGAATGTTGTAAATTATTACAACAAATTGTTGAAGGACACAGTGAGCCAAACCAGACAAAGTTTACCAGATGTTTCCCTCATTCATGTAGACACTTACTCTGCTTTGTCGGAGCTCTTTCACCATCCCACACTTTATGGTACAAACATATTCCCTTCACTTGTTTATCTCTGCAGTTCTTCTAACTGGTGATTTCAAATGGTTGAATAGCATTACCAAGTTTTATATGCTGCAATTATACACCAAATATGCTGATTTAACATATGCAACTTTGGTTTCTGGTTCAATTTTGTTTTCTTTGAACAGGGTTTAAGTATGGTACCAAAACATGTTGTGGATATGGAGGGGGTGACCACAACTTTAACCCTAAAATTTTGTGTGGTAATATGCTAGCAAGTGCTTGTGCTGAACCCCGAGAATACGTGAGTTGGGATGGAATCCATTTCACAGAAGCAGCAAACAAGATTGTTGCAAATGCTATTCTAAATGGTTCTCTTTTTGACCCCCCTTTCCCTCTCCATGAACATTGTGATATACAACCTATTGTTTGATCCAGTGCTAGCAACCAAAGGTCTTTCTTATGTAGCAATTTAACTATTTTGAAATACTCAGCTGTCAAATTGTTAAATAATGTTTCGATTTATGGGGTGTTGTTACTTTCACCCTTGTGTGTGTAGCAGTTCAAACAAAAACATGGTACTTATTGGTAGCATTACTGTTTGGAGAAAAGAAAAACATGTTATCATATAAATGTTGGACTTTGGTTATTATATATGGTATCTGATATGAACTACCCTGCTTCATGTTATGCAGAAAATAATTAGCATATAGAGTTGATTTATCTTCCTTGAAAGGTTGCTATGAGTGTGTTGTAGTGCTTGGATTTGAGTTCCAATAAAAATTTCATAAGGTTTGAGTTTTAATGATTGTCACTTTCATTGATTTAAGAAAAACTCAAGGGTGTAAGACATAAATCAAGCTACACAAACTCTGGTACTTCGTGTTCAAATATAGACAGCAGAAGAGAATACAAACGTTTTGTTCACATATTCCTAAAAAGAATTTGACGTGAAAACAGAACATGAAATAAAAGTGCTATTAACAGCTGTAATAACTACATAAATATAGGATAGTTTCTTGTTGTTGTTGACTGAACAATTGTTTTGTTGATAAGGACCAAAGTTGAAAAGATAACATTTATGTACTCATCTGTTTGCATAAAAGTATCACAAGTGATATTAATGTACATTTTAATTCTCAAGGATTGGTTGTGTTCTAATCGATGAAGCTAATGGTAATTTAGTTTCTCCAATCCAAAATGTGTCAAAAAGCTCTTCCCCAGCTGAATTTTTCTCCATTTTTCTTATTTTTCTCTTCTTGACCTCCATAACCAAAGCTAACAAGATCAAACCCAAAACAACCAACCCAATGAAACCTATTGCAAACCCCAACACCCACCATGTGGTAAATCTCCTGCCATGACTGTGAGTATGAAGTTCATCTGGAAAAGGAAATGATGGAATTACAAGAGTGTAATGTCCTTGTCTGTGTACTTCACAAACATATGGCTTAGTCATGTTCTTGAATTTCACCAACCCATTATCAGTAAACTTAGCACAAAGAGGAGTGTGATTTCTCCCACGTTCATCGGCAAGAGGAAACCAAATTTTGATGGGATCACCATGAATGGTAAAGTTAATCTTCTCATCCACCAATGCTGATTCTGAAGAACTGTAAGCCATGATACCAAAAACTGGAGCCACCATTGTGTGGTTAGGTACATTGTAGTAATGAGAAGAACAATTGCCTAAGTTTTCGTACAAAATGGTTATTCTTTTCTGGCTTGGCCGAGACATAATCCGTGGCGGAAGGTTGAAGAAACTGTAGTTCATTCCTCTTGACCATAAAGAAAAACTGCGCAATCTAACGACTGAAACTTCCATACCTGTTAAGTTGGAAGGAAGGGAAACATTGTAGAGAACACCTGTTTTAGGATTTTTTATCTCTTCATTTGCTTGCATGCGAAGAAAGGAATCCAGTGATTTACGATCAGAATAAGTCTTCAAACCTTCAACAAGAGATGATGAAAACAAACACACAATTACCAACGTAACTTGCCACCATCCATGAAGCCCCATGAATGTCACCCCAGTAGCCTTTTTTTGTCTCTGATGTTCAATTCTTGAATGATTTTCAAGGAAATCCATGCATGCACTGAACCCATTGAAGCTTTTATGATGCAGTAGTAACTTCACTACTCATCAATGGAAGAAGGATGAGTTTTCTCACCACAAACTTTCTTTTCCTCTAGTTTTATTAAAGATAACTGAATGTAACTCACAATCAGAATCCTTCCCTAACCAAGTATATATATAATATAACAGATCAGAATCTGTTTACAACAACACTTGGTTTTCTTCTCTTAACACATAAGAAAACTTGTACAAGGTTTCTTGATGATGTGATGCAAGACAGTTAATGGATTTGGTTGAGAAGTTACATCTATAGCATGTTATGAAAATGATTAGGTTCCAAAGTGGAACAAGAACAGAAGCCTGAATTATTCAACTCTTGTTATATGAATGTGGAGATCTATTGGAGTTTGTTGTGCCTAGAAATGAGAGGTGTATGTGGAAGAATGTGGGTGTAGAGAAATTAATGAGGCGATGAAATATGAGTGAAAATGTTGTATTGTGATGACATTGGTCAACAAATGAAAAGGGGAATGGAACCTTTCAGAGTTGGTGATGCCTAATAGGGTGTTGTTTTGTTATTAACTATTTGTCATTATTAATTATTGGATTGTTGAAGAAGAAGGATATTTATTGAGGCACATATTTTTGGTCCCACATCGATTCTATTGAGAGCTTTGGTCAAAGAGATAAAAAGGAAAGAATGAGTTGGTGAACATCTGTGCCAACCACATGGGGCGGAAGCCACGCAACTCCAATGCCTATTTTAGGTAACAAATTAGTTTGAGTTTTAAATTACTAGTATTATTCTCATTCATCTACCTGTAATTAGTGTAGTCTGGTTAAAAACACGTTAATTAATTACTAAGATGCCATTCTTTAAGTAAAAGAGGTTTCTCTTAACATATTAAAATTAATCATATCATATAATCTGTAAACTTATATTTCTGTTCTCTTTCTAAGTGTGTATTAAGTGTTAATGTACATTTTTTATGTACATGAAACAATTTTTAAAGGAAAATAATAAAAGTGATTTAAAAGGAAAACAAAGAAAAATATTTTCAAAAACTTTGATATGTAATATATATATATATATATATATATATATATATATATATATGTATGTATGTATGTATGTATGGTTAATTAATTATAAATATTTAGTATTTTATTGAAAGCATTACATACAAAACACTTAGATTTAAAAATACTTGCACGATTGTTTGGATTTTGGTAAAATAAGAAATTTTATTAGTCATAATAGGGTGTTTGGTAAGTTCATATAGGAAGAAAAAATATATTTGGATGTTAGACTATCTCTTTCAACTTACTTTTCCTATTGCATCATTTTACTCATATTTTAATTACTTATTTCTTTCTTTCTTTTTTCTTTTTCTCTTTTCAAATTGTTATTCATACCAAAATTAGATATTAAAATAATCGAATATGATACAAGAGAGTTGAGCAACTCTAATTCACCTTATTACCCAATTTATTTATTATATATAATTGTAAAATTATTAACTTGATCTAATCTAAACAAGCAATCTATATAACTTTTAAAATTTTTATTTTTAAAATAATAAACTAAGTGTATATTTAGCAAAACATACATAAAAATTAAAGTTCTATAATTAAGAATTAAATCTTTCATATAACACATATTGTATAATAAATTACAAAACTAAAATGCCATATTAACTTTCTCTTTAATATTCGAAGCTTTATGTTTAATTGGTTTTAACATTAATTTTGTCCATCAATACCAATTTTTTGAAGTATTCATACAATAAATTAAAAAATTAATATTATAATTGTAATTAAGCTAAGTTTTAGATGAGTTGGTCAGTAACCTTGAATATGGATTTTGAGTTGTTTTAAAGACTCTTAATAAAATGTTCTAATTAATATATACAAAAATGATTTTTTAAAAAGGCTAATATAGCGAATTTTATGTATACAAATCTCTTTTCGCGTTGCATCATTCTTTGTTTTACATGGAATAATAAAAATTATATATTATTTCGCATTTAATGTTGCGTGTTAGAGATTACATACTCACTAATGTCAACTTCTATTTTATAAAGCAGAATACATAATCTAAATATTTTTTCTAATATTATCCTTTTTCTTTCTCATTTACATGTGTATTTCAGACACTACCTGTAATTAGCAAACAATTTCTTAAAGTATATCATTTCATCATACCCTCTTTCTAAATATATTTGAATATTTTTTAAAAGAAATTGTCAACAGATAAAATAACATAATATATATCATAATTTAAATTCTCCATTGTAAATTGAAAATATAATTTATTTTATACAAATATGTTTATGAATTATAAATTTTAATTATAATATAATTTATATGTTAAATTTACTTATGATATATTTTTATTGTATAAAAATGAACTTTGTCCTAAGCAATGTAAAAGACGAAATACTAGTTTGTAGTTAACTTTTTTTTTAACAAAAACCATTTGAATGAAAGAGATAATTCTATTCATCATCACCTCAAACCATGTGTCAAATAAAATTACCTTTGACAAAAGAAATTAATGCATACACAACATATATATATATATATATATATATCCACATGTTAAAAAAAATCTAAAATAGTATTTCTCATAATTAATTATAAAAACGATGATAATAAAAAATAAATTAAGAATATACATTTTTTGTATGGACAGTAGTTAAAAATAACAAATGAAATTTCCAAATTAATTTGTAAATGCCCCATTTACTTTATGCTTGCTGTAAAATTTCTACATGATTGATTTAAAGTTTTACTTTTAGCAAATTATGTGCTTTAAAATGGTAGTAGATCTTCAATCTATCATGATCTAGACACAGAAACAACTGGTCCCATATATGATATAATTCCTCCTTCTATACTCATATATCACTTAAATTTCTTACACAGGAAAGAAGTGGAAAGATAATGGTTCCATTCAGAGCCATATACATAAAATTTGCTACATTATTTTGACAATGAAATGGGTTCATTACAGGGGCAATAGAGGTTGAGAGGAATTCTATTCTACTTCAAGAGATACATACTTATACAGCAGATAAGAGCAAACAAAAACAAATGGTGCTCACAGAAGATAAACTTCACTTGGTACTTGCTAACACCATTCTATTCAGTTCCAGTGATTTTCTTCTTCAGTCCCTCAATGTCTGTAGCTAGCTCCTTCCTGCTAGACTGTATAGAAAATACACATAAATAATCACTTGTAAAATGTACATTTTACAATACATGTCTTGTTGCAGAGGTAAAAAGTTATCATTCAATCACTTTTGAATTCATTCAGTAGCTCATTTACCCTATGCCAAATCATCATAGCACTCAAAGGGAAAAAAAAAATGAAAACAAAACGTACAACTGTATCAACACCAGCACCAAAAACTCAACAGAGAATCCAAATTCCTCAAGGCGTGGTAAAACAAAACATCTTACATTGTAAAATCTAAAAGAGTGAAGTATTCATGATGTGTGTTACTTACCTTGAACAGAAGGTATCGGTAGACAAACCATCCAGTGTATCCTAGACCTACCAACTCCATGATCTTTGGAAGCTGAAACATAAATGGTATTATTCCAGAATGGTTCACCAAGGTTTTATATGGATGATGTACTCAGAAATATATAACCAGAAGTGATGAAACAATAAGGTAAAAGTGAATTATATTCATTAAGAGAGAAGGCTTACCAAGGGAACTGAGTTGATTGCGCTCACGAGAATGGAAGATAGCCAAACAGCAACTAAAGCCCCACCACCATAGATAAGCACTGTGGACTTGTTTTCAACAGCATCCCACTGATTATGATAAACGGAGGATATTATTTCCACTTGGTTAAAAAATGAGTTTGTACCAAACATTGTGTAAAATAAGGGTTGGCAAGGAGGAGAAAGCGCATGCTTGTGGATTTGTTAAAAGGAAGTTCAGGACAAAACCAAATTGCTGAAATCAGCCATGTAGTAAACTTCTTGCCTTTTCCTTCAAATCTGTGAACAACTCATTGGCATCTACTGAGGATGATTCCTCTGAAGAAGCTCTGGTCTGAAGCAGAAAAGATTTTCCGGACACTGAAAAAGGAAAAGAAACATCACCTTAGAATTATTATAAGATAAATGAACAAAAAAGAGATGTGACGAAATAACATGAACATTGAATATGCAACAGAAGAATTACTAGTCCTAAAGCTAGGGAGGAGCTGTCGCTAAAACTACAAACACAGAAGGCTTAACCAAGTAACCAAGTGTAAAGTCTTGGACAAGTATTAATTGATGGTGGCATGAATTGCCCCATTCACATTGCAGAAACTAAATTAACTTTCTGATTAGACTTTGATTTGGCAAAGTGTAACCACTCAATACAAGATGTTTACTACTCATCAATTTCAAAATGCAGAAGTGTTTCCGTTACATAATGAACATCACCTAGGACAGGGATGATCAAAACATGGAATAATTTCAAACTAGATTAAAGATTAAAACACATAAAAGAGGAAGTGAGATAAATTATTTCAGGAGAGGACAAGATAAAAGAATTGGACAACAGCTTAATAGCGCTGACAGGCCCAAAATTAAAAATATAACAATGTAAAAAATACAAACATACTATACATGACAATAATAATGCAGCATACTTCAAGAGTTTATGTAAATGAAACCCTTTTTCCTCTTCCATTTCCTGCTAAAACTAATCTTCGACTGTCGGAAACTAAACATCGGCATCACCCAGAAGGAATTTGAACGTGGTTCGTCACTTCACTAAAGTCTAACCCCATTAGTAAATCAAATCAATCCAATTAAAAAATTTCAACCCAATTGTTTGGAGCCACCAAATTTTACACCTTTTTGTGAAGAAACAAGATTTCAAAATTAAGACTAACAAGGAGAATGGCATACCAAATAGAAAACGAGAGAACAAGCAAATGCATCTCAATTGTAAAAAGAAAGACCGCTTTTTTCTTTTTTCTTTTTCTTTGTCACAAATTTTAAAAACAACTTACTAGAAAAACGCAATATTCCTAAAGATTCAACGTTTTGAGACGAACAAGGAAAAAAGAGGAAGAGCGAACCTGAAAAGTGGTTGAGGGAAGGTGAGAACAAGGTGGTGCTGGTGCTGGTTACACGTGGAGGCAGAGAAGGCAAAGCAGAACAGCGGGTAACGTTGGTGGTGGTCGGAATCCTAGGTGGTAGTAGCACCGTCACTGCCGCCGCCGCCGCTGCCATTATTATTATTAATTAATATGAGAAATATGAACAGTGTGATGGGTATCACTCTATCTATCCCCAAACCAAGAAATTGGCACTTTGGTTGGTCTCACTTTCTTCCTATTCAAATTCAATAGATATTTATTTTTATAAAAAAAATAAAGAAAGTAGAGAAGAACATGTTGCTTACACTTGTTATCCATTACCTTAATTCAATATTCCAACCTCTTGACACGTGGACTAACTTCGCTCTCTCATTGGCCACTTCCCTATCTTCTAAATCCACATCTCTATCAAAATTTCAACTCCTCCTGAAATCAACCCTATCATGCCTACACATTTATACCTACTAAATACAATTTTTCGGCTATTACTTCCTCCACCCCCTTAATTATTAAGTGCATTCATACATTAACAAAATTTAAAAAGACTAAAATATTCATCATTATTTTAACAAACCATCGTTATAGAAGAAGAAAAAGAGAGCATGAGGAAAAAAAACTCGTTCTGTAAAGTTAATTGTGGAAAACATATTTCAGAAATTATTATATACATAAGGTATTATTATATGCATTTTGAAAAGTTTATTTTTGAAATTCTATTTTATAAAACTCCTTTCGAAATATATTTCATGAAATTCTAGATATTTTATTCTGAAAATCTTATTTCTAAAATCTTTTTTGAAAAATTTCTAAAACATGTGGTTTAGAAATTACTTTAAAATTTGGAATGTGTGAAGAAATTGTGGAGTGCAGGAAGTAAAAGCCCAATTTCTCCATTCAATACTCCAAGAAAGATGGGTCCTTTATGCTGTAGCAGCCCATTGAAAATTTCTTTTCGGGCCAGCTCATTGTCTGCAGTTTCTCTCCCTGTTGCTCTTTCTTGCCCTAACTCTGCTACCCACACTTTCCTGGCTCCAAACCACCAACTTCTTAGTCCGTAGAGAACAAACAACCACCGACCCGTCACCGGAATTATGTTCCGCCTCGCAAAGCCGAACCCTTTTCTCTCTGGGCACCACCTCATACAGCGCTGCTCCGTCAGCGGCACAGCGAAGGGCAAGGCGAAGATCAAAGCGGGCCAAGCCCTGAAACGCTCCCGAATCACCACCAAGAAATCGGGATCATCCCAAATCGCAGCCCCACCAATGTCGCGCGAGCGCCAAGAGCGTGAGAATCTATACGAGCGGTGCCTCCAGGCCCCCACCCCGCTCCGCTACCTCACCCCGCGGCAGCGCGAGCGCGAAGCGGAGCGCGAGAAGATGGGGCTCATCAGCAAGGAACGGAAGCGAGAAATCGACATGATGAGAAGCAAAGACAACAAATTTAAGGTTTCAGACAAACCCACGATAATCGGGACACCTGGGTTGGACTATGTCTCTCTGGGGTTGGTGGATGTGGAGAAGTTGCCCACGTATGAGCTAACGGTTGAAGATGGGAGGAGGTTGGCGAAGGACTATAGTAGGGTTTTGATGAGGAAGCATAGGGCTAGACAGGCTGCGGAATCGAATCTTTTGAGAATGAAAAAGGAGGCAATTGAGGCTTTGCCTGAAGGGTTGAGAGAAGCTGCTTTGGTTCCTGATTTGAGTCCTTTTCCTGTTAATAGGTTTATGGCTACTCTCACTCCTCCTATTGAGGGTTACATTGAGCAGATTAGGGAAGCTGCTAATAAGATCAGTGGAACGGAGAAGATTAGGTGACTCTGTATTGGAATGGAATTGGTTTTGTTTGTGAATTTTGTCCACTGTTTGGTGGAATGGATTGGAATAGCAAATAATGTTGGTTGTTTTTGGACTGATTAAATAGGATGTAATGTGATGAGAATGAAATATATTTAGTCTGATGTTTTCCATTGTTTTGTTGTTGTTTAGAGGTATGCGATGAAATGATGTTAGCTGGTTTAGATGGATTGAAGTTGGATGAAATGAAACAGGCTGGCTAGCTGATTTACATTGTTTGAAATTGAATGAAATGAAATGTGATGTGGTGACGACTTTGATTTGTTTTCTGTCATTTTGAGGTATTGGATGAAATTAACTAGTTTTCTAATTTATGTTTGGGTTCATTTATTTTTTAGATATTGGAATGGGATGGAATACCTACTAATGGTATAATGATTTTATTTCAATTCATTACATTACACATTAATTGTTGCATGATTCTATCTCCTTTCCCCTTGTTTTTAGATGAACAATTTGAAAGGAGGAGGTTTTGAATTGTATAAGTGACTCGACCTTAGTGTGTGATATTGTCATTGTTATGATTGAACTGGTTTCTTTTTTGTGAAATAAAACAGAGTGAAAAAAAAATGGAAAAAGGGATAGACTAGGGAGCAAGAAAAATTATGTTTGTAAACTGATGAAAATCTTGCTAGATGTTATGCTAAACCTGTGATTACTTCTTGTCTAGTGCACATTGGAGTGGGATTGCTCTGTGTTGTTTGCTTGTTTGGAGTGCACATATTAAATGGCTAGTATTAGCACTGATATTAAACATTTAAGAGAGCAACTTCAAATCTAATTCATTGCATTGGAATTGATTGTTAAAGAAATTCAACATGTCAAATTGGTGAATTCTGCAAGTGATTCAGTTGTTGAGGGAAACGTGTCACTGAAGTTAGAAATGACTCAATTAACTGAAGATTCTGAAATTCTGCAATGAGTATTCCTGTATACTGTCGTGTCATTTTGTATTATTGAGTTTAACTAAGGAAAAACTGAGAAATACTCAACTGGGACAAGGGAAAGACATGGTTTTGACATGTATTGACAGCAAGAGGGTAATTACAGAAAACTTGATTCAAGACTTAATAATTCCAGTTTTAATGATAGAAGTGAAGAGAATGAGAATGAAATGGATGACAACGTTAAATAAGTTTGTAATTGAAGAGTATAATAGAGGGTGGTTAACGACAGTAAAGTTTTGGTTGTGAAATTTCTTAAGATGAGTTAAGGTTTCTAACCTTTCTGTAGTTTTGGTTTAGATGATTTTGCATGCAATTTTTGGCTGAGGTTGCCTTTTAACATGTCTTTGTAACTACTAGTGTGCATTTGAATTCAATTAATTTTAGAGACTATAATCTGAATGATATAAAAAAACGTTACAATACTTGTTATGTAAGGTTTTAAACCTCTTATCAGTAAGCCGTCAACTTTAATTTGGATAATAATTAAATATTATAATCTTCGTAAAGGAAATATTATTCAATAACAAAATAAATTTTCTGACAATACATGAAAAGCTAATAAATTGTTTCTAAAATTAATTTAAACACATTATGAATTTCAAAGTTTTTAATTGTATTAAGAGTTTTTTTTTAAATAATTCTCTCGAAATACACTACTTCAAAAATATTTTCAATTTAATTTATTTAAAATAATTTATTTTCCTGATTTATTGTAACAATAATTTGAAATATCTCAGTGAGGGCTTTTTTCAATTTCCATTCTAAGATATGCTTCGATAAATTTTTTCATAAACATGTTTTATGAAAGAAAATAAGAAAAAAATGAATTTCTTTATAAATTAAAATTAGTTTATATATGAAATAATTTGTAAAATTTATTTTATATATTTGATCTAAATTTTTATTTTTTATTTTTCAATAAATTAATCTTAATTTATAAATAAATTTATTTTAATGTACAAAAAAATTCCTTTCATTTTATTTTTTATTTTTCAAACTTAAAAAATTATTTAACTATTAAACTCAAATTTTATTTTGAACTTGTTCAAAGAAAAAATATTTTTATGATAAAAAAATAGTTTTTATTCTTATAATTGGTGGACATACATCACATCCAAAATTTTAAATTTTATACAATATTAATATTTTTAAAATCAAATTCTTTTACAATTCAAATCTTATTAATTTAATTAGATGTTTTTAGAATATGACTAAGTTCACACCTACGTAAATTTAAATATAAAATATATTTTTAGTTATGTGAAATTGAAATTTATTTTTATCTAAAATTTTGATACATGTTCCAAAATTTAAAAATAAATTTATATATTCTTTTAATTAAATGATATTAAATTTATTTTATGTATTAAATAATATTTGAATTAAAATATGTTAAATAGAGTAAACATTTAAATGAAACGGTTCATTTTACACCTTAAAATAATTGGATTAAAAGAATTATATTTTTTCTTAAAATTTAATAACTAAATAATATCAAAATTTAAAATAATAGTAAATTTTAATTTCACATTAAGATTTAAAGATTAAAAACATATTTATCTTTAAATTTAATTATGGAAACAAGAAAATACCCGAGTTGATGATAATGACGGAGGAAAATGCACGTATGTTTCCTATTCTTAATGTCGTCGACTGACTAGGAAAAGCCTTCGTGGAACGTCATAGATTTCGAACATTTTCTTGTTTGGTGGGGTTTGTAACTTATTTTCAAACATGTACATATATAATCATATCACGTAACCAATTTGTTTTCAAACACCCGAACTCAGTAAATTGAATGTAGATTATGCAACATGCACTAACTAGGTCATTGCTGAGGGAAGTGAATGACAGTTAAATTTTTGGCCTCACTGGGTCAAATCTCGAAACCATCCTCCGTTTTGAAGCTGCCACAACTTCATAATTTAAACAAATAAAGCACATTTTTCAGCTTTAGAACGAGGCAAAATCATATTATGATTTACCCAAGACGGGACAACATTTGAAATCATTGGTCAAGTAAATTTAGTACTTGACATTTAAAAGTTGTCCATTCTTTATATCTTATTCATCACACTGCTGTAGCTGCTAATAAACTTAAGGAAAATGACACTTAAACAACCATTTTTGACAACATTTAGACACGCGCACACGTGTCAAAATCTGAGTGGTCCAGTTGGAAAAATTAAATGAAAATGGACCACTCAGATTTTGACACGTGTGCGCGTGTCTAAATGTTGTCAAAAATGGTTGTTCAAGTATCATTTTCCTAAACTTAACAATATGACGTTTTTCTGTTTAAAATCCTTGCTTATCATGAATGGGGTTCCTATATAGTTACTGCAGTCTGATCTTGCATTAAGCATCAGGTAATCTCTATTCACTTACATTTATGATAGATTTATCTTCATATTTCCAAAACAGGAGGAAGCTATATTTCGGATGGCATCCCAGTTCCACAACATTAATCACCACAGAAATACATTTCATAATTTACACCCACACCAAAACTATAACCAAGCAGAAAATTAGAAAGAGATAAATAGTCCATAAGACGATAATAATGATAAAACTCTTTAAGAGGATTAAGTTTAGGACTAATTTGAAGGGTTTTACAAAATTTAAGCGACTATGTATTAGTACTACTGCTTAAATGAATATACCTTGAAGAGGGAGTTATCCTAATAATATCAAATTGGTCATTTACTTAAAATCAACCACTCCAACAAACAACTGCCTAGGAAATCAAATCTCATCACATATCTAACAGGTAGAAATAAGAGTACTGCCACAGGACTAGGTTCATAACGGATTGGGCCATGTTTGCTCAAATAGGCAAAACATACAGAACGTAGGATCCGTGAAACATTATAATCTACTGGCCTACTGCCAATTGCCCGAGTTGCCTGAATAATTGAAACAGAACAGTTAAAGTCCCTTGCTAACATTCTATACAGGACAACATTCTAAATGAACTAGCCTATGAAAAACTAGCTCTAAGGACAGAACAATACACTAGCAACTATGAATGACTACAAAAACTGAAAAATCCTATCACTAATTCTGCACAACGACAAAATGATTTCACATATCAAGCTATAGCCACCAACACAAACATAACTCCTTCAAAATCTTAACAAGAATTACAACCAAAACCAAACTTCCCATGATCTTGTTTCTTGCCTCTGATGATGATAGAGAAACAAAGAGAAAAAGACCAGGAGAACAGATCCAAACACCCTTTACGTCTTCAATAAAAAAAGAAAATAAACGCCTCAAACTATGTCAAAGATATTTTCATCCCCATTTCAAAACTAAATCAAAGATATTTTCAAAACTAAATCAAAGATATTTTTAAAACTAAACCAAAACCAAGGTTTTGAACTACAGTCCTCAAATGTACACAACCACCAAGGACTACAGTGATTGTAACTAGAACCACATTGGTCACTCATGTCTGCAATCTCCTGTGAAACATGAGATTAAAAACCTTAACCAAAAGTACTCCCAACAACTTGTTTCGTTTCAAGTGTTAGAAGTGGATTTTAGTTTCAAACTTCATTTTCAAAAGTAAATGTTTATAAATCTCCCGATCCGCACATGACTTTCAAGAATTAATGGTTATAACTTTTACATGCTAAACGTGATTCTTCCATCCTCTAGACAAGTTTACAAATTGAGTACTTTTTGGATAACCCTGTGCTAGAGGTGAATCCAAACACCCAAAACACACTATAAGTACATGCTTGGATGACCCTTCCAAAAGTACGGGCAGAATGAAAGATTACAATAAACAACCTTCTCCAAACTGTACGTTACAAATTGTCAAAGCATGTACTATTCCATCTCATTCACAACCAGAACAATAAAACAGAACAAATGAATCAATCAAGAAACACAGAACAGTACAAGTATACCACCGTATAACAGAATATCTTATTTCATTAACACTCACCATTCATACATGGCACAGTACACAGACAGACAACACCTTAAAACCACATACAGTTAAATATAATCTCAACAAAGAAAAAAAAAAGGAAACCAAAAACCGTTACCGAAACCCTAATATTTCAAATCTTATCGATATCCTCATCCTCGAACTCAATATAATCATTCCCAGCGCCATCGTCTTCCTCGTCGAGGCCAGCGCCGATACCCTCGTT